TAAATGGCCACAATTCTCCAGTCAAAAGAAACAGATTGGCAGAGTAGATTAAAAAATGATTAAAATCCAATGATAGAGTAGATTAAAATCCAATGATATGCTGTGTACAGGAAACACATTTCACTCAAAAGGAAATCCACAGACTAAAAGTCAAAGGATGGAAAACAATCCTCCATGCAATAGGAACCCAGAAAAAAGCAGGGGTAGCTATTCTGTTTGCAGACAATGTAAGCTTCAAACCAACAACAATCAAAGGAGACAAAGAAAATCACTACAAACTAGTCAAGGGAAAACTGCAAGAGGGTGACATAACAATCATAAACATGTATGCACCAAATATTGGAGCTCCAAATTATATAAGACAAATCCTAACAGGCATGAAAACCCATATAATTAATAACACCATTGTAACAGGGGACCTCAACATCCCATTGACACAAAAAGATAGGTCAACTGGACAAAAAATCAGCAAGGAAATAACAGATTGGAACCAAAGCTGTGAACAAATGGACTTAGTATATGTCTACAGAGTGTTCCACCCCACAACATCAGAATACACATTTTTCTCAGCTGCACATGGGTCATTCTCTAAAATAGACCACATCCTATCCCATAGAGCATACCTTCCAAACTGCAGAAGGATTGAAATTATTCTGTGCATGTTATGTGACCACAGTGCAATGAAACTGGAAATTAATGACAAAAGGAACTCCAAAAACTCCATAAACACTTAGTAATTAAACAACAACCTCCTGCACAACCAATGGGTCACAGAAGAATTAAAAAGGAAATTAAAAAATACCTACAAACAAATGAAAACATAAATACAACTTATGGGAATCGATGGGATGCAATGAAAGCAGTCCTCAGAGGTAAATTTATAGCAGTGAATTCACACATAAGGAAAACAGAAAGAGAACAAGTAAGAAGCCTAACGCTGCATTTTAAACTTTTAGAAAAAGGAGAACAAGTCAGGCCCAAAACCCAAAGAAGGGAGGAGATGATAAAGATAAGGGCAGAAATTCATGCAGTTGAGACAAAGAAAACCCTCCAAAAAATAAATGAATCAAAGAGCTGGTTCTTTGAAAGCATAAGTAAAATTGATAAACCCCTAGCTGACCTTATCAAGAAAAGGAAGGAAAGAACTAAGATTCATGCAATAAGGAATGAAAAGGATGAAATTACTACAGATTCCACAGAAATTCAGAAGATGATTAATACCTACTTTGGAAATCTTTCCTCCCATAGGATAGAAAACTCAGAAGAAATTGACAGATTCCTAGATATGTATGAATTACCAAGGTTGAGTCAAAAAGATATCAAATTCCTGAACAACCTAATATCAATTAATGAGATTGAAAACATGACTAAAAAACCTGCCGACAAAGAAAGCCCAGGTGCTGATGGATTCACAGCAGACTTTTCCAAGAAATTCAGAGAAGATTTAATACCAACACTGCTCAAACTATTCAATGAAATTGAAAAGGATGCAGTTCTCCCTAATTCATTTCTAGAGGCCAGCATCATACTGATATCAAAACCAGAGAAAGATCCAACCAAGAAAGAAAACTAGAGACCAATCTCCCTGATGAATATAGATGCAAAGATACTCA